ATAAATAACATAAAAATATTTGGAAGAACATTTCGTAATAGGTACAGGGTTAAGAGCACGTCAAGCTTGACAGATTCAAATCCAACCCCATGCCACACACGATACACAAATTAGAATATTACGATATGAACGGTCCATACATAACAAAGTGTCAAGCAGGTGTCAAGCTTGACGTGCTCTTGAATTCTTGACTGTATGCATCATGGATAGAGGTGGGCGTTTAAACGAAAAGCACTTAAAAAAGTCTGCTTTTTAAAATAAGCGCATAAGCACGCTTTTCATTTTAAGCATAAGCATTGGTCATTAGATGGGAAACTGCTTATTTTTTTAAACGTTTAAACATTATGCTTTTTTTTTAAAAGCGTGCTTTTTTAAACGCTTTTTAGTTTGAAGCTAACAAAATCGTTTAGAAAACGTTTAAGCGCATAGTTTTTTTTTCTTCTTTCCATAAAGGAAAAGGCAAAGGTTTTACACCATACAGCCAAGTCTTGGTTTAAGCGCATAGACTTTTATGTTAAAAGCTTGCAACGTTGTGTTGATAGTGAAACGCACGAGCATACCACTAAAGGTTTTAAGATAAGTTTTTTTTGTAAAAACACGAGTTATATTTTTATTTATGACATAACATTATTATTTAATATTTTGTTCATTGGCGTTTAAAAGCGTTCAAACACATAAGTTGTTGAACTTTTGTAGTTGTTAACCGTTGAAATGGAAAAAACTGCTTGTTTTTTTAACGTTAAAACGTACGTTTAAAAAGCGTGCTTGTAAAAGCGCTTTTTACTTAGGGTCGTATTCCAGAACTCTACTCAATGCTCAAGTCAGGACTTGAGTATGATTTATAGTACTGAAAATCATACTCAAGTCCTTGCCATTAGGGTCGTATTTCCAGTGCTTGAAATCATACTCAAATCTGACTTGAGCATTGAGTGAGGACCAAAATCACTCAAAAAGTGCCATTGAAATTCGGAAAGTGAAATTCACCCCGTGACACAATTCAATTTTGCATTTGAGTGCACCTGTTTGCTTGTAGTACAACCCTCCCGCCCCTCAAAAAGTGGCAGAAAGTTTTGTTCGAGAAATAATGCTAACAGCGCCTCACGTCCTATATGCTCTAAGGCTAAATGCGAAGGCAAAGCCATTGATACTAAAAAAAAACCGTATTAATTTCAGAACATGTACGTTTCAGAACGAGCTGATTGCTGTCAATTAGATCTGTGTCGGTCAATCATTTTTGATGACCCGGTTCGATCATGAACCATGCGTAGTGTGATCCCGTCAAATGATTCGATCATATATACGATATTTTTGCGGGTATATGACGTTTAAAAGTGTCAAATTACACAATTAGCTTTTATTCTTTCCTGCTTATGGGTAATGTGACGTGTCTATAGTTAAATGTGTCATCGATAAACCACTCTTAGGATACTAAAATTTCCTTCTAGGAAAACTGTGTTACAAATTAAAATGATCTGGTTATTTAGAAGCTAGTAACCGGGTTATCAGATCACAGGTGCTGTTCGAATCATTTTGATTCGTTCGAGCACGATCGCACACATCTACTGTCAATCTTGTTTCTTTGAAGTTGGTTGGTTTACTTCGAATTTATATTGCAAAAATTTTTTACAAAGCATGTCACAACTAGAGATATCTTGTGGTTTAGAATATACTGCAACTTCTGATCTACAAGCATGTTTAACAGAAGCGCTGCAATGCAATTATCAGTTTATTGTTTCACCGATAGTTCACCCACGTTTTCGGCGGCACTACATTGCGAATGCCGGGAGTGTTGGTGGATTTACACGCTCGGATATGATTCTATCGCCACAAGACTGGAATAGTCGGATGGTGGCTAAGTTGTCGCCCTATTTAGATGTAGATTCTGCTTCTCCTATCGTCCGCAGACGTCACGAGGATTGTATGAATGAAGAACTTGGTTATTGTAGAGGACTTGGTGCACCAGCGATAATTTTGTCATTACATGGCAGACACACAAACAATTTAGCTAGATTGTTGCACACTTTTTACGAAACTTGGTAAGTTTCAAGGTTCATTGGATAATCAGACTTCACTAAAAAATGGATTTGATTAACGGTTTTATTTTACAGTCATCACCCGACTTACATATGGGCTCACGTACCCATGGTATGTAGTCGTACACTGCGATCGTCATCCCAAAGTGATGAAGATGACAATGAAGATGCATGGAATGAACCTTGGTACTGGTGGTCCAAATTTCATGAACACTTGGAATGGGACAAGAGAGTTGGAGTAATATTAGAGTTGTCTGCAGATTTACCATCAGAAGAAATCTTAGAAAGATGGTTGGGAGAACCTATAAAGGCTATAATTCTGCCCACTACTATTTTTCATAATAACAAAAAGGGGTAAAAAATATTATACCTATGCATTTATATAAATATATTTTTATGTATAATTTTTGATGTCTTGAACTTATAATAAGGTCTTACAAATTAAAAATACTAATCGACTATCTTTCTGCGCAATTCCCAAAGGATTCTTATCAATATGTGTTTGTTAGTTACCAGTTTAATATTACTTCATTTTAATGCCAATCTTTTCTATATTATGTTTAATAAATTTAATGGAAAATGTACCTTAGCTGTAGCTCTTTTATTGTGTGATTCCAGATTTCCAGTATTATCTCGGGTTCACCAACAGGTAGTTGTAAATATGGTGGAAAGAGATGCACAGGTAGTTGTTAGTGGGGCACGGCGATCAAACATTGAATTCTATCTTCATTATTTGCACAGGCTATGGAATAGGAGACCAAATCCCGTGGATGATCCTATGCTTAGTTATGCTAGAGGGTAAGGTTTTGGTTAATTCTTATCATAGTAGTCAATGTAGTCATGCATATTAATTTTAGTGTCCTGAACTTGACGTGCACCGATGGTACAAACTTGCAGTGACATGGTATATATTTTTCAGACATCAATAAAACACTAAAATATAGTTTAAGTCAACTTTTATGTTAATTTTAACATTTTTTACACTTGACTCGTACTTTAGCAGGTATGTAGGTAACTCATAGTATAGCAGGTATGTAAGTACTATTACCAAAAATAATAAACTTCAAGAATGTTTGTAGAAATACAAACACTCTTAATTTAAATACATAATAAATTATAATTGTAAAAAAATGTTCCTTTCTTTTTTTCTAACTAAACAACTTCTAACTAAACATTTTTTTTTCTTTTTCTTTATCATTATGGAAATATTGCATTGACATATAGTAAATTTAATTAACACAGAAACTTATCAACTTCTTTGTTAATTATATGGAGTTAAAATGAAACAAATTTTCACCATGCCGGTCTATATCATCGGCGGCTGTTGTAGCCAACAGCTAATCTTGCCCATGCCGCGCACATGTCTACTCTGAACCAAAATCAGTAATATTAAAAAAATATATATTATGGATTTTTGTTGGTAGGTCAATGTATTGGATTATTTACTTTTTTGTCAACTTGCAATGACTGAGTATGTTAAATAAGGCTGCCATTATTTAACAAACTAAAACATACTACTATGGCGCACCTATTTGCGTGTGGAACATTCTACTAACAACTTTTTTGTACACATTCTCAGATGGGAAGACTATCTCCAAACCCCTCTACAGCCACTTGCAGACAACCTTGACACGCACACATATAATGTCTTTGAAAAGGACCCTATTAAGTATGACCAATACCAGAAAGCTATTGCTAAAGCACTTATTGACATACAAAAGCAAGCAGAACTAGAGGATGGTGTAAGATTGAATTAATTTTATATGCTAATAGTAATTAGGCAGTAAACCAAAATGTATCTTTTTTTGTGTCAGTGATGGTCATAGGCTTTTGTATCATCAAACTGCACCTAATCCAGTGGCATTTTTCTGTTCAAACAACATTGAAACCATGAAATTTATATAGATTTTAAGACTCGTGGTTATTCACTAAATGATTATCACTAGTATCAGGTTTCATACCGTGGTAAGAAACCTGATACTAGTGATAATCATTCATGAAATTTGTATTGGAATTTGCACAACTTTATTGTAATAATAATTTCACCATTGTATTATGTACATACTATAGTAGGATGTAGATGGCTTCAAACAGATCTGTATTTCCAGAACAAAACTGGATCTCAACACAGCGAAGAGGGTGATAGCACAATATGCAAGAAACCAATTATAGTGATGGTGCTAGGTGCAGGCAGAGGGCCCCTTGTAAGAGCCACATTCAATGCCGCCGATATTACTAATAGTAAAGTTAAGGTATCGTATCTCTGAATGAAATCAAAACACATATATATCTCGTCAGTCATTATCATCACTTCAGCCAAAGAAAGTATTACTACTGGACATACTGGTCTCCCCTAAACATCGCCACTGATTACCTTTTCTACATTTATATTATATTCACCACTGTAAATTGTATTACCCTAAATCATATATGATTCCATGAACAAAATTCATGACTACTGATATTGTAACATCTTTCATGACAATGTGGTTATATTGGATGTTCTTATGCTGTAATTATTGAATTCAGGTGATAGCAGTAGAGAAAAATCCTTGTGCAGTTGTTGTGCTGGCGGCGCAAGTGAGGGAGGTGTGGCGAGACCGTGATGTTACACTCGTATCTGGCGACATGAGGCATATAAACCTTCCCACTAAAGCTGACATTATTGTCTCTGAATTATTGGGTAAGATATCTTTTTGTATGTATTTTGAAACAAATCAAAAGTCTTTATTATTCCTAAATTAATAAACATAGTTTTCAGTAAATTCAGTTTTAAATATCATTGAAGTGACAATGTCGATTTAGATTTATAACATTAAAATTTAATTTTTATTATATCATATATTTATAATATTTATATGACCCCTTGTTGGGTATAGGCCTCCTCCAACTCCTTCCATTTAACTCTGTCCTTCGCTACTTCCATCCAGTGTGGTCCTGCTGTTGATAGATATGTATTTTAAATGTGTATCGATTATTAAATAATACATGAATAGAGGGTGGATTGGACGCCTTTTCCAATTTGTCACAGACTGTATTTCTCAATTGCCATCATTTGATATTTTTCAGGATCATGGGGTGATAATGAACTCTCACCAGAATGTTTAGATGGTGCTGCTGCACTTCTAAAGCCCAATGGTATATCAATCCCTTGCGAGTACAGGTCCTACGTTGCGCCGATCTCATCACCTAGATTATGGAGCGCGGCAAAAACTCAACCCACGCCAGGCTTTTGCAACCCAAAAGAAAAGAACCTTGAAACATTGTGGGTAGTTTACATGAAGAATAAACACAATATTGGCGACTCAAAGGTAAAAGTCTTGTTTATCTTTTATAATACTGTTGTTTGTGTTGGAGACTATACAACATATTCTGTTTTAGCTTGCTTTTGCTTTCAATCACCCTGCAAAAGCAGAAAAAGATAATGAGGGTCAAGATTTGTCCGACTACAGAGGTCTTCCATTAACAGATAACAGAAGACATGCAACAATCACCTGGACAGTAACTCAAGACAATATAATGCATGGATTTGGAGGATACTTTGATAGCACTCTATATGCTGATGAAATGATCAGTATAGTTCCATCTACTCATAGTCCTGGAATGATTTCTTGGTTTCCAGTATTCATTCCTATTAAGGTAATGTTGGTACACAAAGAGAAGGTTGTGTGAATGCAAGTCCAAGAAATTGAATGTTTTTAATTATTGTTACAGACACCTGTACGTGTTTGCAAAGGTGATACAATTAAGGCAACATTCTGGCGATGTGTGGATACACGCAGAGTGTGGTATGAATGGATAGTAGAAGTAGGAGATCAAACAACTACACTACATAATCAGAATGGAAAAAGTTCAGAAATGTTGTTATAATGCACTCATTTATAAGATTCAAACTATAGTTGTTGTTTTATAACATGCAATACATATGTTATAGTATAGTGTGTTTTATTGATTAAATTTGTAAATGCAACATTCTTCAGTACATCATCATCAACCCATTTATATGTCCCACTTCTGGGCACGGGTCTCCTCTCAAACAAGGTTTTAAGGCCATAGTCCGCCATGCTGGCCCAATGCGGTTGGGGACTTCACACGTTTTTCCGAGGGTTGTGAACCTTCTTCAACATGCAGGTTTCATAATGATGTTTTCATTCATCAAAAAGCTCATGATAAATTTGAAATTAATTAAATAAAAATTCTTGAGTACAATTAAATAAAATTCCATAGTGTTGTACTGAAGAATTATTATTTAATTAATTTCAAATTTATGAACTTTTTGGTGAAGGAAAACATGTGTCACATTCATGTCACATTAGTATAATTATTATTTTTTGCTTGTATTTTATTTTATTATTATTATTTTCTTTGTTTCGTTTGTAACTTATTTGCCTAGATGGTATGGTCAAGCCAAAAATGGTTTTTGTCGTTAGCTCCTTAGATTTCAAGTTAAAAAAAAATACAAATATTCCATGGCACTGTAATAGCTATATAAACCTTTACCTAAACATGTTTCTTTGGTAATAATAGATTTTATATAGTTTGCACCTTGTTCTAGCATGACTATAATCAAATTCTTATAACTTTTAATAGTAGGTAACTGCCATTTCTTAACGTTGATAACATTTCTTAATAGAGCCAACAAAAAAAATTACGATTTTATTAGTACAATCACATCTAAGGTTAGTATTGTCGTACCCGAGATTTAGAATGGTACTACTGAAATACATTTTTACCAGTATTGACAGTGAAATATTACTTTGAAATGGCAAACTATTTTTTTTTTATTTAAGTAACTTTGCGAGTAGAACGGACTAAATGCCGCCTCTTTACCTGCCTAGTGACCTCAATTATTTACATAATTCAGTATGGCAGTATGTACAAAAAACAATAAGTACACCATAAAATGCCATAAAAATCAACTATTAATAAATATTTCAAAAAACAATACACAACAGTAATCTATTTCTAATCTATTGATTCTACTTCTTACTGACCCTGACAATGTTCATTTCTTCATGAAAGTCTCGTATATTCTGCTCCCATCTTTTTTCATAATATATGCCTGTAAAAATATCTGTAACTGTATATTATAAAGTAACAACGAATATTTCACCCTGCAATAGCAGTTTTAACCAAACACATTAAAATTTTAGTCTTTAAGACTCTAACGACTGAAATTTTAATGTTGCAGAAAACATTGATTTATTTATTTTGTACATGTATTAAAAAGGTCTTATAATAAAATTTAGTATGGTACATGACCCAGTCAGGGTGTAGCAAGGAGACTTAAAAACTTTAAATGTTTCATTACCTTGCAGGAATTTAGCATTCCGTCCAGTGCGTATGGCCCAAGGCAAATAATACTTTAAGTACAGCTGGCGATGTTTGGGCTTGAGGCGAGCTGCCCCCCAAATACCACCGCCAATGCACATGGGTAGCCTTGTTTGTATTCCTTCTACCCATTTTATTGCTACCTGGTAAATAGTCACTGTTTAAAATAACAGCTTGCATTACTACATCAGACTTATAGAGAAAATACAATAAGGTCAGATTGAAGTGTTAACTTTACAGGACTTCTTGCAATAAGTATTACATTATTTATTTAGAATTATAAATGAATTTGTCAAAGTCTACTCCATATCAGTTTACCTCTCCAAGCATGGTAGTCTTCATAAACAAGGTTGCATGAACCAAATCGTGGACTTCTCTATAGCGTTGCATAACATATGCTAAATCTGGATCTGCTATGAATTGGACAGGGAGCCGAGAATCAGCAGTAATGTTATTATCTCGCATGAAATCAGCATACACTCGCCCTATGGTATTCTCAGGGAGCTGCAAGAGCTGTTGAAAAGACACTGTTTCAGAGTTAATTCGGGGCATTTCTCTTAGAATTTCTGCACCCTCCGGTGTGCTCAACATTTTCTTCTTCATATACTTAAGTGCATCGTCACCTGTAATTTCTCCGAGACATGCAATCATATCACCGCGATGTGGATTTAGGAGAGAAACAGCAGCTGAACCGCATGTTAACAACATTTTCTGGAATAAGTTTGTCGGTATAAAGTTTTTCTGCATTTCTTCTAAAAATGAGGTGCTCCCTGAAGGCGCTGTTGAGAAGCGCCTAATTCTTGTTATCGGTCGCATTTAAACAACTTTGTAAACCGTATTTCAGAGAATTTGGGATTATTGTAATAGACGGCAAGTCTAATAAAAACTAAAACAGATAATTCTAGCGATGCAAACGATACATCGATTTTTCCAAACATCGATACATGGTTCATAAACATCGATGTAGAAACCCAAAACGTCGTTAATGCATCTCTCACCATGAGCGATATTCAATGAACGATGTTTTATTAGAGCGCCATCTTCCGTCTCGTCTGTGATCTACAGCTACACACGTAAACAGATACTTCTCTCAATCACAAATGCAGATTTTTTATTTAGTTCCGTTCACTCTGCAATACAAATATACACGCGCAAAACGAAGCAGTTGCTTCATAGAAAACAAACACAGAAAACACAACAAAAAACAAACAGAAAACTTCGTAAGGTTTTTTTTTTAATTTATTAAGGCTTTGGCAAAGCCATCAGCCTAAACATGAAGTTTAATTATGTTTCTGTAAATATGGCCGCCACAAAGAGGATAGGCAATTTGAGGCGGCGTGCTTAGATTGACTCGGGATTCCTTAAAACGGGCCGATACGGGTATTTTAGTTCGAGATTCGTATAATTTCGCGTTTTAATCTTCGATTAAGGCACAATAGCACTATCCTATTCCACTTTAAACTAGATTTCACAAAATAATTGAAAGTCAAAATAAAAACGACGCTTTTTCCTCCAAAAGGTCCAGAGCGAATCCATTTCGTAAGGCCCGCTGGTTCGTTCCGTGGCTTAGTTGGTATAGTCTGGCACGGTAAGCTAGAAGACATCGGTTCGAATCCGGCCGGATCGAAGGAATTTTTTCTGAGTGCTCGATCTTTGTATTAATCATTATAACAAACTAGTGGAGTAATTTCACAAAAAATAATTGAATATCAATTCAATAAAAATTTAAAATATTGATATTTTTTACAGCTATATTGTTTCAGAACGCACCCAAATAAGGTACTAAATAGGCGCGAAATAATACGAAACTCGAACTAAAATACCCGTATCGGCCCGTTTTAAGGAATCCCGAGTCAATCCAATCACGCCGCCTCAAATTGCCTACCCTCTTTGTGGCGGCCTTGTTTACAGAAACATATTTAAACTTCATGTTTAGGCTGTTGGCTTTGCCAAAGCCTTAATAAATTAAAAAAAAAAAGGTGCTAAATGGAACGCGTAATAAAAAAATAAATAGTGTAAAACTTCCTATTAATAAATATAAATTTGAATATTATAGGTACTTATTTGTTTAATTCCTGTTAAAAAAAAGCATTTATTCGATTTACATGTCACCGTAAAATTGTGAACTCTGCCAGTTTATAATATAACGCGTGAGATTATAAACTAACGGTATATTAGGTTATATTGTAATCTGCGATTTTATAGTGATGGCGTTCATAATTTTGCGGCATATATGTATATATATACAATAACATTTGAAAAATCGCTATATATCGTTACTAAATTCGACGTTTTTAACATCGATGTTACATAGGAAATGAAACTATTTTTCCGGATTTAAATCGTGTATATTTGTTTTTTCAAACAAACCGACGTTTCGGGCCCTTTAAAGGTCCCATGGTCCATGGTAAAGGGCCCGAAACTTCGGTTTGTTTGAAAAAACAAATATACGCGATTTAAATCCGGAAAAATAGTTTCATTTCCTATGTGTAACAATCGCGAAAACCTAAGAACTCGATATCGATGTTATACTTTTAAAAACATTTGGAGTTTTTATGGCCGATGTTGCATCCCTAGTTATAACACCACACAATCAGCTGATGACGACAGGTATCAATCAAGCATTTTTTTAAATTTGGATACTTGGATCAGTCGAAAACATTTTAACACTAAAAAAAAAATTTTTTTTTCTTATTTCTCTTGGCTCTTCCCGGTAAGCGTTTTAGCCACTTTCAAAGTGTTTTGACTAACTTGAAAAACTAAAACAGAACTATTTTCAGGGCTAATATCTAGTTTTAATTTGTAATGATATGTGTACAATTGTTTTAATGCACTATTTAAATTGTTTTCAGCTATATCTATATTTTGGTTGATGCTGTACAAAAGTAAGTCATCAGCAAATTGCAGAATATTTACATTTTCAATATTTACATGTTTTAAAATCTCTGAAGTGTATAAATTAAAAGCTTTCATTCCAACATTTACTGTAACAAGAATGGACATTGTACGAGAGGTCCCTGCTAGTTGGTCAGAGGAGGAAATATTGGACAATGTTTCTGTGTCTATAGGATGTGGAAAAATACTTAAAGTAAGACGTATCAGATGTAAAATAATCGAAAACGGGATTGCTGAATTTACTAATACTGAAACTGTCGTTTTAACTTTTGATAGACAGACTCTACCAAATAAAGTGTGCATGTGCTATATAGCACTAACTGTACATTTATATACATATCCCATAGCACAGCGTTTTTAATGTTGTAGATTTGGACATACTAAATTATATTGTAGATCTAACCATGCTGATTATGATACCGCGCTGTTAAAAAATGTGGAAATAATCATACGGGTGATACATGCACAGTTGAGGAGGATTGTGCTTCTTGTTGTTTATGCTCAGGTTACCATTTTGCAGCTAGTAAGGCCTGCGCAGAGTTTTCTAGGCAAAAACAAATAAAGACTTACATGGCTCAAAATTGTGTATCGTACTTTGAAGCCTCTAAATCATATCCACCAATAACCAAATCTTATGCAGATGTACTCAAACAACTGTCTACACCCTCAGCTCCCAAAGTGGTTCAGGTGGACCCCCCAGGGGACCACGGAAGACTCGACGGGGGTCTATGTTGGCGTGACAAAAAATAATATGACTATGGAATATGGTAGAAATGTAGCTGCAGGGGGTCCACCGGAACCAGTTAAATTTTGAATGTGGTGTATGAGAAAAAAAGTCTAGGAACCTCTGATCTACACTAATTAATACACCAACACCTACAAAGGTTTCTTCTTCAACCTCCAATAATTCTTACAAAAGAACAGTTTTCTTAAAGCCCCGATCTCTTCCAAGACAATCTGGTGGCTATGACCAAGTCGCTCATGCACAGTATGTTAATGAATATAATATGAACATGGTTTCTTCTTTTTCTAATTGTTCTGAATATAAAACATCTGATAATGATAATGACCAATCTAAATCTGAATTGCCAATTAATACAATTAATAATAAATTATACAAAGATACAATACAAATTAATAATATATTATGTATTAATTAATAATATATTATGTATCTTTGTATATATCACACTCAACTTCCTCTCTTCTCTCTGAAATTAACAACTTAATTCCTATTCTTCCTAAACCATTTCTTATTCTAGGTGATTTCCACTGCCAACACCGTTCTTGGGGTAGTTCTTTTTCTACATACTATGAGGACGTATTATTGGATATACTAGACAATCAAAATTTTTGTGTCTTCAATACCGGCTCTACCACAAGAATGACTGAGCCATCTGAGGGTTGGTGAGGGTGTTCCAGACCTTTCAATTTCTACTCCTAGCTTAACATCCACTCTGTTGTGGTCAGTCTTCTCTTCTCCCTGTGGTAGTGATCATTTTCCTATAATGATTACTTTCTCGTGTTCCTTTCATAGTTGCATAAAACGTAGCCCCCGTTTCAAACACAAATTGCGAAATGGTTGGAGTATTTTTAAAGATAGAGTAGACAAGAAAATAGCATCTTTACCGAATATACTCACTGATAGTGTCTCAGAATGTTCAGAGGCTTTTAGTAATCTTCTGATAGAAGTTGCTGATGAACTTTTCCCTTTAAAAATGCCCCAATCGTCAAGAATACCTTTTCCACCTTGGTGGGACAGAAAATGTTTGGATGCAATAAAAAGAAGAAAACCGGCTGAGCGAGAGTCTACCGTAACGTAATGACCGCAGAAAATTATGAAGTTTACAGCTAAATCGCACATGAGACCCGTAAGTTGCTTAAGAAGAAGAAGTTTGATGGCTGGAGGCGTTTTTGTGTATCTATTTGTCCTGACGTCCACCCAACCATTGTATGGCAAAATATAAGAAGGTATATATTAGGACTGGTACGAACACCTCATCTCAGTGTTCGTTACCTCCAAGTTTGGCAAGCGTATTTCTCGATAAACTTGCTCCTCCTTCGGTTACGGAAACAATTATAGCACAATTACCATTTCCTCAATCAATGGGTAGAACATGTCTAAATGCCCCCTTCACTTTGTCTGAACTGAAAGGCGTTTTAACAAAAGTCAAAGATTCTGCCCCTGGTGAGAACGGCATTCTGTATTCCTTTTTCGTTCATAGTAGCGACAACATTCTTTTATATTATGCAGATGTAGTTAATGGCGTCATGCTTTCTGAGATAATTCCACCGTCTTGGAAATCACAGTCTGTCATAGCTATTCCTAAACCTAATAAACCACCATCTCTAGTGTCTTCTTTTAGACAGATTTCCTCTATTTTTGCTAAAATTGCAGTCATTTAGTTAAAAATAGATTGGAATGGTTCTTAGAAAATAAAAAATTACTTTCAAACAACCAATTTGGATTTAGAAAAGGTAAAAGTACTATTGACGGTACGAGTACGTATTAGCATTTTGGTTACTGATATTCGCCTCGCCTTTACTAATAACAGTCAGAAAGGCGCATCAATTTATGTCTTGACGACGGTTCTGTTATGTCCAGGCTAATATGGAGGGGACTTCCTCACGGATCTGTACTTAGTCCAATTCTTTACAATATTTATACCTACGACCTAGAGTTTACTCTTCAGGGCAAAGTTGGAATTTTACAATACGCCAACGATTTCACGCATCTGATACTAACATTCCTAGAGCTTGTAATATTTTGTCCTCATCTCTTAATTTTTTAATACTTTGGTTGGATGCTAACGGACTTTGTCTGTCTGCTTCAAAAAGTGTAATAGTCTTGTTCTCTAGGATGCGCTACCCAGGATCTTGAAATTTTATATAATTCCATTCCTATTCCAGTTAGACTTCAAAATAAATTCAAAATAAATTTCTAAGTATTGTAACTCTAAAACTCACTGGTATT